TATTGTTTGCTTTTTGCGATGCAAGTAATTTTTATTTTATAAAAATCTCATAAAGAGGGCAAAAGGTCAAGACACCCCAGTCACGTGAAAGAAAATTGCCCGCAGACCTCGGCAGGAAAGAAAAAGAAAATTGCTGTGAGAAAATAGAGAATAATCATTGGCGGCGAGGGCGAACGCGACGTTTAAGAATACAAAAGAATAAGGACGGCGGCAGGCAGAAGCGCAAATTAAAATTTATTTTCTTTTGTGTCCGTCTTAGTCGCCGTCGTCACCGTCGTTCCTCATTGCTTTTAAAGTCGTCGGCCGTTAGGAGCATCTAGCTAATTCTGGCTTCACTTAATGTATAATGAAATAATTGCGATTAGCGATAATTTGCCCGCCATTTTATCCGCAGAAGAAAACAATTAATAACTAAAAGTTTGCACCGTAACGTTTCGTGTGGAAGAGAAAGTTAATCGCAAATATAATTTTTCTTTTGTGTGGACGAAAAATGTAGCCCTAATTTTGATTGCGTATTTTAAAAGAGATAAAAGAATTGGTTCGTTTGTTAACAATTACTCAAATGACCCAAAATGAGGTAGGGAGTTCAAAAGTGACAATAAAAGATCATTTAGAAGTTTCGGATTTTGCTTCGAATTGTTTTATAGCAAGAATAAAATTAACTTAGTATCATTTAGTTGTCCATAGATGGCGATACATGTCTCGTCTTGCAATAAATTTGTCGAAATTTTTAGTTTGCGGCATTGTAGGAATTTATTTCGTCGCAAATTCATGAAATTTACCAAAAATTCACGCCTGAATTCCAACGGTGCTGTGATGGGCTTAAATTTTATCCCACATTTGATAAAAAGTAATATGTGACATGAAATACTTTCCGAGGCTTAGCGGTCACATGCGACATGACGTAATCCATACAATAACTAATATTACAACCTTCTAAAATGTTTCTCTTTACGACTTGCTATTTTTGTTATCTCCGTCAGTTTCTCAGAGACGAGTCATAATTTCTCCTTATCACACATTGCGTTTTCACTGCTTCGGCGTATTTTTGTTTTACTAGTATGATACGATACTTAAACAATGTTTGTCCAGCTCTTGTGCTAGCATACGCGTGATAGGCTCGCGCAGTCTGCTCCTGTTTTTCGTTTTCCATGTGTAACGCTTTTTTGCCCAACCATGTTATTACGTCACGCCCGCGCGGCCAGCGTAATTTTCGCTGATATTTCTTATTGAGTCGCAAACGACGACGGCGACGACTTTTATTCGTGTTTTATTATGTCAATCAAAGCTCGCGAGGCCCGAAAATTGCTAATAAACAAATAAACAATCCGCCAAGAAGCCGGCGCCGTGCCGCTCTGCCAAGCATCCAGCGCGGAGAGCCGTGGAAATGTAGGACGAAATGTGCCTGGTCCGAATGTGTTTGTTGCGACGAGCATTGTGCGGAAAAATAACGTTAATAAAAGCGAAGTAATAAAAATATAATGATGGCGCTCATGCTTAGCTGCGAACTGAAAGTCGACTGTGGAAATATAGAACGAGAACGGGTCTAGGAAAATGGTGTGGTATTAAGAAATTGGTATAAAATTATATAGGAGTGTCGTAAAGTTATTATAAATTGAAAGATGGCAGAACAATAAACTCATAATAATCGTAACATAAGGGTGGAAAGTTCTAAAAACATATCTAGCCCTATAAAGATAAACATTCAAGGTTACATTAATTTTCACAAAGAAGAAAAATTTTTGATGTTAAAAAAACAGATTTTTGCCATTTCCAATCAAAATACAAGTTTGACCAAAAAATAGAATAAACAAAAACTGAAAAAATGAAATTATCTATAAAATGACTCAGTCAGATATTTTGTAAACCTTATAATTTTTTATTTACAGCAATTTTAAATATTCTTGTTTATTAGATGCTAGACGCTATCTAAAAGCGTATTTTTCTCTTTACCGTTATATTAATTTGAATGCACTTTTAATATTTGTATAATTTGAGAATATTTGTCTCTGACGCGTGTTTCCTGTTCTCAAAAATTCCACGCTAACGGCATTAAAATCCCTGTTAATTTAAGCTTTATCGGAATTAATTTGATAATACAAAATCCAAAATTTAATTCGACAGTTGCATCATCCAATTATTAATATTTGACACATTTTAGTTATTTATTAAATAGGAACTTTATGACATAACAGATTTTCGAACTATTTATGTTTTAATAAATGTAACCTACTTACAAACCATCGAGCATGTAACTGAAAAGTCCTTAAACCGATTTATCACATAAAGTTGTTATAAAATCAAACACGTATAAAGTTTACAAGAGTTTTAAAATATCATATAACATCGATTGTTATACACACCTCGTTTAGCGCCTCTCGTAACATCACGACGACATTATTTCGTTTACGCAGTACGTCTTTTTACATCGCAATATCTCTCCGTGAAATTGTCCCGTGCGCGCCGCGACAGAATACATTCCACACATGTATCCCGACGCGCAAACAAGCGCATTCCGGCAACTATTCCATTTTCATATTTTCCACTTGGAATCGACTAAAAGCGCTGTTTCGGTGTTTCCTTTTTGTTGCACCGCATTTCGTTTTGCTTAGTATCATAACGTTATAATATTCATGTCGCACAATGCATGAGACTCTTTTCTCTTATGATTTTATCTGTCTCGTGCTTTCGTACCCAGTAAGTCATTCAGTAGTAAACGCATGAAGTTGGTCATAAGGAAAGTCTCGGGAACGGGTGAAATTTACTATTCTAATATCGGGGGGAGAATGCACCGTTTGCTCGAACATCTTGCAATAAAAATGACATTTCAAGACAACATAATAATTCAACTGCCATTTCGTGCCGCGCCGCAGCGTTCCATATTCGCGTGCATATTTTTCCTATTCGCCTCGTGCAACTCTATAATTTTTTGTGTCTTGCATATATAACGCTAAAGAAATTGCCGACGGGCAAAAGAATTGTAGGAACTGTAGAGATGGATATTTGTTATTTGTGGTAAGAGCATTAAATTATTTTATATTAAATGCGAACATTGCATATTTGAATCATATATTTTCCTATTATTAATATTTCAATTTTTAATTTGAACACAACGTAATCACACTCATTACACACGCTGTGCGTTATTTACAGAATCAGTTATCCTTGCATCCGACATTTATTTCTCTTTGTGCGTTCTACCCGTGTTGAGCGGTTCCTCGTACGCCCTTGCGACCAATTTTGGCGTCCGTTTTCCCTTTTCACATTCACTTTCACATATGTATGCGTTTACACCTTTAGCTGAACAAGAACACACAATTTTAATGTCGTCATGCATACATAATGCTCGTGGCCCGTGCAATTTGTACGTGCTAATGTAAAATAATATAAAATTTAATCAACAAAACTCGAACTCGCCTGCTTCCGCTCCGTGCACGTCTAATGATTGTCTCGGTAATGTTGGAAAACATTTAACGTTTTTTGTACATCCGTATTCACACAGTCATTAATTATTACGTATCCCCGAGTGGTGTTTATTTGGAAATAAATTTCAACTGTAGCTGTAGGAAATAATTGACGCGTATTTTTGGTATTAAATGATTAGAATTTAATTGATTCGATGGAAATTCGTTGAATTAATCAATGGGGTTTTATTATAAATACGTTCTCTTCGGAGCTCACTCACTTTCGTATGCATCATGCTCCGTGTGTATATCTCGTACATGCAAATGCGACAAAGGCGTAATGCGAACCAACTCGCAGTCTGCCGCACGTCGTGGCCTAGGTCTAAAACGAAAGGTGCCACGATGTGCACGAAGTCAACGCGAAGCCTTGCCTCGCGTCTCTGCATTTGTGTGCCACCCAAAGCCGAAGCAGCGCTTCTGCCAAGATTACGTAATATGTAACTGGATTACGATGCCTGACGTGCACCGCTGCCGCCGCTGCCATCGTTGCCGCCACAGCCGCCGTCGACGACCTCTATTCATACGTATATTTCTTGCGTAACGCTGTGTAACGCGATGCCAACCTACGGCTCATCCGTGGCATCTGATGCTGTGCCGTCTCCAAGCATCGACCTATACCGCAGCTTCCTTGGAAAGCGCTTTTTTTGCTTTTGCCGGAAATCGGTGTTTGGTGTTTGGCAAAACGTTATCAGCAATATTGACGTGGCAAAAACGTGTGTTGAAAATCTAAAAATCGCTGGTTTTCGTGTTTAACTCAGTAAAATTTAGTTATTTAAGTTTTGTCTTAAGAAGAAAATTTTTAAATTACTTTTTTATTTGATAAAAGTTTAGCTGACATTGTTTTAGTTGTATTTTTATACATGTAGACGCCATCTATCTTTACGTCAGTGAACGTGCGTTGACTTAATACAGCTTCCTGTAATTTTTTTGGTGTTGAAACCCTCGGATCGTATCTACTCATAACGAATAAAATATATACGACGAAAATATATGTTACTGCGCATAATTTGAATATGACGCCATTCGGTAAACTTTAGTTAACATTTTCTACATTTCTGTCGCACCATTCTTCAGACGGAAGTGTAATAATACTAAAAGGCGCATAAATAGATACTTACACTCGACGTTTTCGTTATGTTTTCGTGAGGCTGCAGAAACCGCAATGGCAGAGCGGGACAAGCCTGATGGCGTTTATGAATTGCCACGTCGTTCATAATAGATTAGCACCGGCCAGGCGTGCGCAAACGTGATGAATAAAAAACAAGGTAATATCTTAAAGAGTTATTATTCGGCGTTAATTTTTCATCCGTTTCTGACACTTAATATACCCACGGCGTGCAGATGAGGCTCAACCGGCCGCGGCACCATCTTTAAAAAGCTGGCAGAAATCCAATAATAAATGTTCTCAAAAAAACTCTTCATTTTGAGCCTCGAGGAAAACACTTTGAATTTTTCTTAAAGATCGTTTTGTTTCGCAAATGTCTACGTGAGATGGCGCGCTTTGTAATCAAACACTAATGTTGTATTTTGTTTCAGATGATTGCCGCTCAGGATTATTTGGATATGTGATCTTCTAAACGTTATTAAATCAACGAAAATAAAGGTAAATTTTTTACAAATATTTATTCAACACTCGCCGAAAATTATCAACATGCCTCTCTCATGATTAATGAAATTACATTTTCGCTGTGTGTGTGTGTGTTTGCTTTTGCATTTTCGAAAGTAATAAAAACAAATTTAATTTATCCCTAATTTAATGCGTTTCGCAAATAAATAAACGCCTAGCGCGTCGTCTCGGCGCGCCCAAGTTAACGAGGATTTTGTTCCGATTACGTGCGTTCGTTGTTATGCAGACACGCATAAATATACATAAATACGCTGTGTCGCAACTGGGAATTTCTTTGCGCCATCCTTTTTCCTCGGTTCAGCGCGTCGCGTCCAATACGTCGATGGCTAATGCTCACATTGCGAGGGATGCAAAGTAATACGGTAATACCATATTCGGGGCGCCAGGCGTAAATTTTGCAAATTTCGATCGACTAGACTGCCACACTCGCTCTGCCGAGGATTTACTACCTCCGGATTAATGTGCGGGTGGAATTGTGCCTCATTGTGTGCTAAAGCCCTTGGAAGATTTGCAAACCGCTCAAAATATTTTTTAACGCATTTTACTTAAGTATTATTAAATTATATTATTTATTGATCTAAAACTGAAGTACTGCATAATTTGTGAGTATAAAAACGTGGCTATTGTTCTATAATTTAGCTTAAGTATTATTTATTTAAATATAGTCGAAATTGGCAGAGTTAACATATAAACATTTTCGCGTTACGTAAGTTTCCCATGCGATCGCGCTAAGTAATAAAATAAAGCTTACGGGGAATGTAAAAGGTAAGAAAGTAAGAAGGCTCACTCTCTTCACGGGTGCGTGCTTACAAGCTCTGGATAGGAACATAATAAACGAGCGTATCGCGGGATTAATTTTCCTGATTTTCATGATTTGCTTCTTTCGTGTTTGTTTCTGTTTGCGTGCCAGCTTTGCCGGTTGCTATGCTTTTGCTTAGCTCGCCATGAAAGTTTCTCATTTATTTGCGTTGCCGAGCGTATTGTCGACATTATGTCGCGCATTTGTTTCAGCGTAAACTTCTTGGTTCACATGTGGGCTTCGGTGAAGTATTATCGCCGGCGATACGTTTTTATACCGATGTAATTAAACAAAAACATATTATGAACTAGTTAATACGTCAGTTTTGAAAGAAACTTCCATGTTTGCAAATCAACGCAATTCGGAATGGAATAATTACAAAAGGAATCAAAAGTAAAATTAACCTGTAATTGCGTTGTAATTCCACACAGGAATTTGGAATAATTGATGGATACGCTTGAGTAATTTGCATTTTTAAATTCTTTTTTCATTGCGTCTGAACAGCGGATCGAATGGAAAAAGTTTGAACCACTTGAATCGAATCGTGGGCAGGTTAGTGGCGGGTTACGCTGAGGTATAAATAATGAACAGGCATATAAAGCGTAGAAATCGAAGGAAAACAAAAGGTCAACGGCTTTTTTACGCTCTAACGCAACGTGCTCCTGCACGAAATCGCCAGCTCTCTACGTTTATATTGCACTTCTAGTAAACCAAAGTTGTTTGATTTTCTGGGTTAATTGCGAATATATTGGCTGTAGTTTGAATTTTTAATCCTGTTTTATTTTTCTCCATCGAATCGGTGAACTTTTTGAACTTTTCGTTTGCTAGCTGCATTGCAGTTTTCTTGTTTACCTTGAACCTTTGCAAATAATAGCCGCCATTATTTGCGAAATTCTTTGTTTTATGCGTTGCCGATGTGAGCGTCTTTTGTAATATTATCTGCGTTGAGTTGACTGACTGTAGATGTGTAGATTGTGCCGTGAGATGAGAGCGGAATGCAAAAACGAGACACGAAAAGAATAAAAGCCAACGTACAATGGTCGTAAATTTATTCCTTATTTCCTGATATTCGTATATATTCGACGTGCATGCCGACGCCCCATGCTCATCGTTTCGCCTCCTGCGATTTCATCTCTTCAGAATCGTCGCATCGCATCGCCGGCGCGCCTTTCGCTGTCGCTTGCCTTTGATTTCCATTTCCATTTTCGACGCTCCGACAATACGCGCTACTTTATGTATCAATTCCCGCTCGCCTTTATCAATTCGACGCGATACTTTTTATCGCCTGTTTTGCCCAGGCGCCCGCGTTCCGCTGCTGGCCTTCGTCAATTTTTCGCCATCGGCACGCGCAAAAAATACGATATCGTTGCATCGATCTTTCGCTTTTTTGCGCCGGGGAAAATTTTCCACTCACTCATCGACGGCACCGGAAATCGAGCTACAAAAAAGCCAGCAAGCCATAGAAAGCCAAGAAAAAGTTGAGAATTTGAGAGTATCGGTGAAGTAGAGAATCACGAGCGACATAAATAAAAACGGGAAGAGGAATAAGCTAAAATATTGCTGACAAAAGAAACGTAGTGAGGTAGGCCCGGTGTCTAGTGTTTTTGGTGCAAAGGCACAAATTTCAGCGAGCGTGAAACAAAAGAACGAACGGAAACGAGAGACGTCCGGATAGAAGCCAGAGGTGTTATATGGTCGATGGGGATTCACTGGAATTTTCTTTTTTATTTCGACCGGAAAGCAAACCTAACGAACAAATAATGATTATCTACCATTTGTTTTACTCAAAAGTAAACGCGATTGCAATTGGTTTTTCAACCTGACGGCAGCTTTCTCAAACATTGCATAAAATGTTGGAAATATTTTTTTCCCGCTGCGGTATTTGTTCATTTTCTAACTGATGCACTAATGGTGCTACATTCGTCATATAGATTTTCGAGCGATAACGAAATGGATGAAGAAATAGGAGCAAACTCCGGCTCAAACGCGCGTGGTGAGTTTGTAAACGTGAGCACAAGTGAAAAGATGAAAGAACACCGTTGCTGCTAGTGGTCGCAGAACGACGCGCGAATACTTTTCAAACGTTTCGGTAACACTCGACGCGCGCTTTAAAAATGTTCCACGACGCCTCGCCTTTTGTGCCGTCGCGAAGAGAAGGACGTCATTTGCGTTGGCACACCGCACGGAACTCCCAATATAATTTTATATTCGCACAAGTTTGTGCACTGTGCGCGCCACTATGTGCACGCTTTTTGCCAATTGCCACGCGATGTGGAATAACTGTTAAACTGTAAAATGCACAACAACGCGAGCGCGCCACAAACGAGCAAGGAGGAAAAAAGCATTAAAACAGAACAAATTCCACGCAAGCAACAAAAATAAACAAAAGTTTACAACCTGAAATAGCGCAAAATTTAATTCAGATGCAAATATTGTTTGTTATACGATGAATTATAATATTTATTTAGTTTGTTTTTGTTACTATTGCATTCGCATTTTGAAAACTTTGCATTATTAGTAAGTTTGCCGTGCATTTGTTTTTACTTTCATGTAGTTTTGCGTTCGTTGCATTAGCGCATTGTGCAGTGCACACGCGGGCGATAATCTCGTTTAGGTGCGGCCAACGGTGCGTTCCCACAGTGGGGGCGGCGGCATGGCGGGCTTCCGGTTCATTTAATAAGTAAGTGGCGACTTTTATCTTTGTCATTAACACGTAAACACGCCGACTAGTTGCCGCCGTTAGCGCGGTGGCGTGTTTGACTGGGAGACGCGCAACTTTCAGACCGTGCAGTGTGCAGAATAGCGAAATACACAAAGTGCTTGAAAACTGGTATTTCACAGAGAAGGAAGGCGCGAAGAGCGAATTGTAATTAGAGCGTTACAAGGAAATTTGTTGAAATTAGACGAATTAAATTGCGCTGTTTTTATATATTTTTCGATTGGAACTTTCAGTTGTAAAAAAAATCAACTTTAATTTAACTGTGAACAGAAACTAATTCAAACAAATCAGTCCAATTTTCAATTAGTTGATTCCAACTGTCCAACTCCAAATTGTGTTTTATTTGTACTGTTGGATCTTACGATTCGTTTTCTTATTGTTTGTGCGGAAATGAACGCGAGGCATCAATTGGCTACACAGAAATTGCAAAAAATAAAGGTTCCAAATTCACTTCCTTAGAAAAATAACAATAATATTAAATCAGCTCTAAAAATAACAACAAAATAAAAACTAAATAAAATAGTTCAATGCGTTAAACCTAGATGGCGCTAGGTGTACTAATCAAAGTAAAATGCTGACGATTTACAATTGTTTACTTCTTTTTATTTTGTCAGATAGTGATTGAAATTAAATTCGAAGCAAACAGAGCAAAAATAATGAGAAATAGATTAACCTGAAGCAAATGGAAGACGATTCAGACAACGAGTTGTTTAATCAAAAATCAAGAACGTAATTGAATCATCGCATCAAGTCACAACGAACGAGCACGAGCAACATAACGAAAACAATGAAAAAAATATCACATAAGAAACAATACACGCGAACAAAATGTCACAAAGCACGAAAAAGTAAAACACAGCAAAAAGACCACATTCGCTTAGGGATGGTAACACGAGAAGAAAATAATGGAAGGGTGAGAGTCGAAAGGATACGAATTTGTTCAAGCATTGGACACGCTCTTTCCATTGTAGTGCTCGCGCTGCACTTTTCCATTTTTTATTGTAGTTGGCTTGTATTTTCAGTCGTAGAATTCATACATTTTAATTGATTCACGTTCTTCGTGTCTGTGCTTGGTTCATGGACTTTTCAGCGTTTCTTTTTGCTTCAGCTTCTTATAAAGTGACGGCACTTTCATTCGAGGCGAGCTTTTATTATTTAAACTTACCTAAAGAGAAAGAAAGTCAAATAAAATGAAACAAGAGGCGAAACCTTTTTAGTCCGGACAGTAATTTAAAGTTTTATTCAAGTATCGTGTAAATAACCGGCAACATTAGTAATTTAGTCGTATTGAAATAGGTCAGTCATATCACACTTTGAATTAAACATCAAATTATTCTCAAAATGCTAAAAAATAAAAATAAACATTTTTGATATGTGTAATTGAAAAGAACTTTGTGACTTGATATACAAAACAAATTAAAATTGCCCGCTTAAAAAGCATTGTGAATATAGATTACC